CGGCCGCAGCCCCCACCTGTTCCAGCGGCCTCCTCCAGCCTGGGATCGGCGCCTGGGCTCTCCTTTTACCTGATCTCTTCCCCCCCTCCGCAGACAGAGGTGGGCCAGTCTCCGGCTGTGGAACCACTCACAGATCCATCCCCGAGAGCCCCAGGCGACCACAGAGCCGGTAAAAACCTCTTTCAGGTTTGCTCTGGACTCTGCTTGAATTCCTTCATTCTACAAGGATTGGGAAGCATTCTCAGGAGACCACCAAGGGTTGTCCAGGCTGAGCCCTGCACAAGGGGGCTGGCCCTGTCGCATTCAGGGCTCCTTCTTCTCTATGGAAGATTGACTTTTTCCATCTGGTGGGTGGTGGCCCCTGCCTACCCTGACAGGGCCCTAATCTAAGTCACGGTTGAGATTGTGACATTTGAGCATTTATTGAGCACCTACTATATGCAAAGGGGGCATTCTAAATGCTTCAGCTGCATCCAGGTTCAGTAAAGCACTTGGTAGAGAGTGGCAGCGCAAGTGGAGCCCAGGTGGCACTGCCCAATCAGCGGGAGGTGTACTGAGGGGTTCAGGGAGGTGTCTGCACATGGCTGAGGGACCTTGCTGTGACCAGCCTCCGAGACCAGGCTCGGGGACCAGGCCCCTGAAATGTCAGGCCCTCTCTGGACAGAAGCCACACTTTGTAGCCACAGGCCCGACCCCTGCCTGTGCCACAGGGACAGCAGGGCTGGGAATGCCTTTATTTGACTGCATGCAGTAGGTTTTGGTCCTTCAAGCAGGAGGGAGGCAGAAACATGGTTGGAAACCCTGGGCATGGCACTTCTGGAGCAGGGGGCCTTGGCCAGGGAATGGAAGTGCGCAGGTGGCCCTGGAAAATGCTCCACCCTATTCACCCTGGGCTCCCACATCCCAACCCTCAGAGTCGTGGCCCAGTCCTGAGCCCAGATTCCCTCCAGAGAGCCCACCCCCCACCTGGTGCCCATCTAGCTTTGGGACCGTCCACCCCCTCTGGACACCACCACTTCCGGTCTACCCTGTTCTTCATAGACCAGGCCGCAGCCACGTCTTCTGGGAAGGCAGAGGGGTGGGGGACACTTATGAGCTGCAGAACGGGATGGGGACCATCAGAGAGCTCTCCTCCCTCCCACATCTGTCTGGCTGCAGACCCACCCCCCAACATCTGCACTGTCAAAGGTAGTCACACTGATGCCTTACTTGTCCCTGCTCTGAGGGTGCCCAAAGAACACCCTGCAAATGGGCTCTGTGTGTGTGTAGGTAAGGGCACAGATCAGGGCTGGTGTTGAGCTTGGAGCCCCCCTCTCAGAGCCTGGGGGACCCCCTGCACTCCCCTAAGCTCAGATGCTCCATGTCTAGAGGGCCCCCAGGCCTGCCCTGCGATCCTTCAGGTCGGAATCAGTAAGGAGCTGCCCTGCTGCATGGCCACCGAGGAAGGGGCGGCTGGGGTCAAAGTCTGGGGACGCCTGGCTTGCATGCCCCCTTCCCTTCCCAGGCCCAGCCCTTCTCGGGGAGCAGTTTACCCATTAGGGTTCTGTGGCTGAGGGTTTTGGGGGGGGTGTTAGGGCCATGCGGGCCCGATGGTGATGCTGCTGTTGGTGACCCTTGGGCCGTACCAGCCGGCCCAGTAGTGAGTGTCCACGCCGCCGTGCTGGAACCAAATGTAGCGGACGCCGGGCGGGTAGTTGGAGAATGTGTGGGAGACCTGGAGGTAGGCAAAGGGCAGAGAGGGGTCATGGGGGGTTGACCGCAAGGGGGCACAGGCTGAGGGGAGCAGGGAAGCGACTGCATTCTGAGGGCCCAACCACCTGTGCCTCAGTTTCCACATCTGTGCTAGGGAGCAAAACCCTGCCTGGTCCACTGCACAGAGTTATCGTGGGACTCCGAGGAACAGAAACTGCCAGCTGCCAAACCATGTCCAATACGGTCATCACCGGGCACGTGTGCTATATAAGATACCATTAATTAAAAATTATATGAAGTAGAAAGTTCCTTTAGGCACTCGTCCTAGGAAGTGGCTCTTACTGAGGGTTCAGTACTCGTTGGTACTGGCTACCGACTGGACACAGCAAACACAGGCCATTTCTATCACTGCTGCGAGTTCTATGGGACAGTGCTGGTCCAGATCAGAGCTTGGCAAACTACCTAACAGGCCCACTGCCAGGGATTGAACTCAGGACCTTGTGTTTGTGAGGCAGGCAGCAGAACCACTGAGCTAAATCCCCCAGACCCCCCACTGCCTATTTTTATAAATAAAATTTTTTTTTCTTTTGGTACCAGGGATCAAATTTGTGACCTTGCACTTGTGAGGCAGGTGTGGTGCCACTGAGCTAAATCCTTGGCTCCCATAAATAAAGTTTTATTGCAACACAGCCACGTGTACTGGTTTGCACACTGTCTAAAATTGCTTTCACAGCAGAGACGAAGGCTGAGAAGCTGTGATGGAGACAGGACAGCCTGAAAAGCCTAACAATTCTGTATCTGGCCTTAAAAGACAACACTGGTGACCCCAGTTTGGATAACACAGATGTTCCTCCAAATCACAACTGAATCGAGCAAGTGCAGATCAACCTATTGTAAGTTGAAAATGCTATGAGGGCAATGCGTTCAATGCCCTGATTAACAAATCTGACTTTTGCAAAAATCCCTGAAACCCTTGCAAGTCCAGATGCTCCTGGACATAAGATGGGATTGTACCCAATAAGTCCATGGTGAAGTCAAAACACAGAAAGTGAAGCTATTGTAGGTTGGACGCTCTCTGTAGTAGTAATCAATATTAGTTAATTAGTAAAAGTCTACCTGTGTTGTAAGTGTAAATGTGGTGCTGGGGACAGAACCCAGGACCTTGAGTTTCTACACGAGTGCTCAATCACTTAGCCACACCTCGGCACCCACTTCCTGGATGTTTTTTTGCACCTGGCATCGTGCAGTACAAGGGAAGCATGATTATTCCTATTGCACAGATCAAGCAGGTGACACTCGAGAAGCAGAAGCCCCTGGGAGAAGTGGCAGAGCTTGGACCTGGCCCTAGACCAGCCCGATGGCCGTCTTGCCTTGGGGAGGCTGCCCCGCCCCTCCGAGGCCACTCACCTCTCTCCACTTGGCATCACTCTTCCGCTGGATCGTCGCTGGGTCCGGCTGGAAGGTCCCTAGAGGTGTGTGCGCGGAGGACAGCAGCTGGACGCACAGCTGGTACTTTGACCCGCAGTCCGGCCTGGCTGCAAACCTGTGGGGACAGAGGGGCCCTGTCAGGGCCTCAGAGATGGGGAGCAGAGTGGGGTGCAGTTCCTGAATGGCAGCCACCCCCAGACCCGTGCTCCAGCCACTCACCAGTCCTTGACTTCAATGTCGGGCCGCGTGGTGTCCATGAGCTCCTCCCAGTACCCTTTGGCCTTGAGGTCCACCACCTGGGACTTGAGGCAGGTGCTGGGGCGGGTGGAGGGGTGCTGGGGTCACCACGGGGGCCCAGAGGCTCTGAGCATCGCATCCCTCTCTAGATGGGAAGGGATCTGGGCTCCCCCTCTGCCCCGAGACCCTGGATCTTACTAATAGGAAGTCACGAAGTATTTCTTGACCTGGTCACTGGGGAACTCCTTCCTCTGCTCCCGGGACAGGTCCTCCACCTTCCACTCATCCCCGCCGTTCACGTCCAGGCTCCAGAACTCAAACCCCTCTGGCAGGAGAGCAGAGCTCATGGTGGGTGGCGGAGCCCTCGGTGGCCGCCCCTCCCTCCGTGTCCCCTCCCTGGAACTCAGCAGCTGACTCCGTCCAGTGCTGGGGGTCACTGCACATCAACAGTGTCTACCTTGCGTTTGGGGCCTCCCAAGTCCCAGACATGGGTAAGTGATTTACACTGAGAATTTTGGACAAAAGATGATGTGAACGAAGAGACCCTTCTGAGATGCAGAAAGTCTATCATGGGCCAGACAGACCTGAGTCTTATGCCAGCTCTGCCAATCCTGGGCTGTGTGACCTTAGACAAATTGCTTTCCTTTTCTGAGCCTTGGTCTTCTCTGCAACTGCACTCAAGAACTGGCTGGGAAACTTTCTGGAAAAGTAATTTCACTTTTGTGGGGCCACATCCTGTCCCTTGTCCCTATCAGTTTTTGTTTTCTTTTTCTATTGTGCATGTGTGGGCCCAGGAGATTGACTCTTCACACTGAGCTACATCACCAGCCTCCTCCCCTTTTTTGAGATGGGGTCTTGCTTAAGTCACTAAGATGCCCTAACTTTTGATCCTTCCAACTCAGTCTCCCAAGCGACTGGGACTACAGGCATGTGCCACCATGCCCAGCAAGTATAGCTGCTTTTAAAGGGTAACAAAAGCCAGGCATGGTGGTGTGTGCCTGCAGTCCAGGCTAAATTCTAAATTCTCAATTGGAGGTCAGCCTGGGCTACACACAATGAGTTTAAGTCCAGCCTGGACTACATAGCAAGATCCTATCTCAAAAACAAACAAACAAACAAACAAACAACAGAAACAGAGAAAACAAAGCCAAAACAAAACATACTCTCAATTCCTTGTCCAGCTCTGGCTTGTAGTCCAAAGTTTGCTTCTGCTATTTTTTGTTGTTGTTTTTTTTTTTGGTGGTGGGGGGGCGGGGGTGTACCAGGGATGGAACTCGGGACTTTGTGCTTTCGAGGCAGGTGGCAGCACCACTGAGCTAAATCCCTGGCCTTGTTTTTGTGTTTTGAATCAGGGTCTTGCTCTGTAGTTCAGGCTGGCCTGGAACTCACCATGCTCTTCCTGCCTCATCCTCCCAAGTTCTGGGAATACAGGCGTGTGTGACCACGCCTAGCTGTGCCCTACAGTTTGCCAAATGCTGGTCAAGTGTGCAGCTGTTGAGGCCTCAAAGGAGACAGCACCCGATAGCTCACGGTTTTGTCATTCAGCTCCAGACGCTGACCCCACAATAGAAGACGATGTCTTCGTCCCACTCCAGGGTCCCTCCGACAAGGGACAGCATAGTGAGGTATGAGGGTTCATCTTGATGTCAACCTGACTTACTCAGAGCCACCCAGGGGATTAGGAAAGCACACTTCCGGCTGTGTCTGGATGGGTCTTGGCGGCATGACCCTGGGGACTCTATCTGCCCCTTACTTCCTCTTCCCCCATGTTTCCTTGCCGCCACAAAGTAGGCAGCATCTTCTGCCATGATGTTCCTGCCTCGGAGCCAGCTGACCATGGACTTAACCCTCTGAAACCGAGAGCCAAACCAGCCCCTCTTCCTGTAAGTTGTTGGGTGTCAGGTGTTTTGTTCCAGTGATGGGAAAGGTGATGGGAAAGGTGACGGGAAAGCTGACGGATCCACAGGGGAAGCTGAGGTTCAGAGTGACACAGGGGCCTTATTTTGTCTGTTGCTGCTCTGCTCTGGAAAGAAGACCAGATCTCCCCTTCTTCCACAAGTACAGCCCGCCCCTGCCCCTGCCTATCCTCTGGTACAGTCACAGTAGGCCCAGCCCTGGAGTATGAGAACAAGACTAACAAACTATGGTTGTGACTTGTTTTTTTTGTTTTGTTTTTTGTTTTTTTGAGACAGTCTCACTATGTACTTGAGACTGACCTGGAACTCACTATGTAGTCCAGGCTTGAACTCACACGATCCTCCTGCCTCAGCCTCCTGAGTGCTGGGATTACAGGCGCGTGCCACCATGCCTGGCTGGTTGTGACTTGTATCTTGGGCACAAACTCTTCCAGCCTACAATCCCTGTCCTAGTAAAGGTCACTGGCGAAATAATTTTAGAAGTGGAATAAGTAATACTACCGTTGGTGTCTCAGTCTACCTTCTGGACTGTGGGTCACTGGCAATCCCTACCTCTAAGGGCTGTTGTGAAGGGGACTGAAGGCGCTAAATGACCCAAAGCCCTGAGCTGGGGTCTTCTGCTAGGGCACACCGGACCCCGCCCACCTCAGCCCACCTTCAGCACAGGGGTTGTGCAGGAGGTTCCTGCGGAGGCTGCACAGGAAGTAGAAGACCTTCCAGTCGGCCACAGGCTGGGCCCAGTCCTCGGTGATGAAGCCCTCGCGCAGGCACTTGCGCTTCCAGAGTGTCCCGAGGTCGATGAGGTCCCGCCAGAGGCTGCAGACGGGGCGACAGTGCAGCAGCAGCTGGCGGGCGGGCAAGCACAGGAAGAGCTCCAGCAGGATGTTCTCGGGCAGCGCGTTGATGCTGACCGAGGCCATGGCGGCGGCGGCGGTGACCTCCTGTAGTTATGGAGAAGCCCCGCTGCCGGTCTGGCCTCCCCCCAGAACCTGTTATTTTCAGCACTGGGTGGTGGTGGTGGGTCCCATTCCAGTGGCCACTGACTGCCTGAGCTTCAGTTCCATCCTCTAAATGGGGCTCGAATGGGGCTTCCTTCCGGGGTCACTGGGTGCACAGTAGGTACTCAGTAAATGGTGCGCTCCCCGAACTTCCATGGCACCTAAGGACAGCCTTCAGGAGGCCAAGGAGGCCTGGAGAGGTCAAAGCAGCTGTCCAAGGTCGCGCAGCAGGGACAGAGGGAAAGGAGCCGGGCTCTCTCTGATCCCGGAGAGGCCTTTTTCAGTAGGCCGCGATCTTTGGAGGGAAATACTGGCAGCCTGGCCCTGCTCTATATTCTCCTCTCTCAGCCTCAACCTTGGTGACGGAGAAGAGGTTGGAGGGGGATGACTATCACTGTCTCCACAGGAGGCCCAAAGGGCTCCGCAGCTTCCTCTAGATCACAGAGGAAACGAGGGCCTAGCTGGGACTGGGAAAGAGGGGGGCCGATGGACGAGGACGCGTCTTCCTACCCCGAGCCTACCCCCGCTCTTGGTTCCAGCCCCAGCCCCCAGCGCGCCGGCGGCCTTCGATTTCACGCTATGATTTGAAAGGATCCTCATGTCAGG